ATTAGTCCATGACCTATCATTTGATTTAGATAAACACTTCATGAATTAATCCATAAGCCTATCACAAATCAAACCATGGATCTTTAGCCCAACTCATATGTATCATTTTAATTAGTCTTTTTTTATCACTAAATTAATTCTTGATCAATACTAATTAAATAATATGATTCCTTAATTAATATATTATACTTATAATATATTAATAAATTATAAATAACCTCTTACTCAAATATCCTTCCTAACATATTGCTTTGATGAATGCAACCCAAATGGACCATGCTACTATCGGGTCAAGTACATACCAATTATAGTTATGGGTTTAGACACCTTTTCCAACAGTCTCCCACTTGGATAAGTCTAATAACTATAATTGCCAATGTAACTTAAAATCCGATTAGCAATCGTAGCTCTCAAAAAGCCGATGTTGAACTCTGATGCGTCCATTAGATAAGTGATCATATAATCCTCTGTTCTACAAGATATCATGCGGACAGATACATGGAACATAGTCATACTTATTGTCCTGCAGTCTGTTTCCCGATTTCCGATATGTCTGACATAGAACTTAATTGAAATAATGAAATTAACTTTGAAAATAAAATGTACAAAAGTCTTTATTGGGTTACCTACTATATTAGATATTGTGTCAAGGTTTACGGAAATACTAAAAACACTAAAATTCGAGTTATAACGAAGAAGTTATGACCATACTAAGATTTCCGACAAAACCGGCAACACAAATTAACGAAAAATGTGAAGTTTCAATACAATAGTTTTTAGCTTTAAGTATCTAAATTAAATTTGTAGATATCATTAAACCATGAGCATACATAAAAAGAACGTCCAAATCTGACTTCGTATGAAGAAGTTATGGTTTTTCCAAAATCCAGATATAGCAGTAGACAGCTAAAAACTCGAAATAGAGATCGAGAGTTTTGGCCGAAACAACCTAAACAAGAATCGAATATCCCAACAATAGTAGCTCAATGGTGAAAAGTCTGACGAAAACGGACATCGGATGAAGAAGTTATGGGTTTTTAATGGACTTTTCATGTCCCGGCCCGTTAAAAATGATGTAATAAAAATAAAGCCAAAATTAGCCGACGGAGTCTAAACGAGAGTTGTAGAGCCTTTTCACACCTACGCATGGATATAAAGAACATTGAAATCGGAACTCGTATGCAAAAGTTACAGATTTTACAAGTTTGGGACACAAAATCCGAGGCTGACTCAGCCTCACGACGTGAGGGGACCATGCTAACGATGTGAGCTTGTGATTGATGTATTCCAGAGTATCAGCCACATCCAATCTTCGAAGAGGATCAGGCTACTAGGCCTCACGACGTGAGACACCCAACACTCACGACGTGAGACCCCAAAACTCAGCCTATAAATAGAAACTGATGGTTTCGAGTTCTAGTGCTCAATTCTCCCTTCCCTTGTGCTGAAACTCTGCTTCTAAGCCCCCGAGACCCTCTTGAAGCCCCGGTTTTTGCGTACAAGTCCCGAAGGAAGGTTTTGCATTCCCGAGATTCCCAAGAATCCTGAGAAAATCGACTTTCACAAGCCGAAGTTCTGCTCAATTTTCATCTCACTTTCTTCAATCAACCAAGTGAGTTCAAACCCCTATAATCTATACTTTTAAATGTTATATAAATTCTTTTATACGCTTTTAAGGGGGGAAATACAAGTAAATACACGGTTATTATTGTGTGTTACATAAAAGTTTCATTATACACTTTTATCAAGTGAATCATATGTGATTCATAACTACTATATAAAAACTTTAGTACGCAAAATATATCACGATAACATCTTGTCTTTTGAAATGAAATATGTGGTTATATATATATATATATATATATATATATATATATATATATATATATATATATATACAAATCAAACACTATGTTTATACTTGAAGTATATATGTTCATCTATGGCACTACAGAAGTTATACTTTTCATAACAAGTGAGCATTACACTAGGGTTTACCATACAAACGAAACACACATTTTGAGAAACAATAATGGGTATAGTTTACGATAAAATCATAAACATTTACGTACTAACGAATACTATATCAAGGAAATACTTTCATATACATGAACAAATGGACATTTTCATACGTAAATCTGTTTTATACTAAGTTTTGTGAGACATTTCACATACTTTCGAGTATGCATTTTAAGTCATGTATTATATACCATAATCCCTTGTATGGGGAGCGTGATACTTGTGTATAGATCTATACGAGATTGACAATCCCACACCTAAATTGTTAGTTACAGTTAGGCCGGCAGGCCTGGGGTGACAAACGTCATAACTTTCCAATGCCTGAAAAACGTTGTTATATGCATCCTAGTCAAATAGCATGGTTATAAGACTCACATGAAGTATTAAAAACACATTGATTTACGGGGTTTTTCAAATGCCTTAACGATTTGCACATAAAACTACTATTTTAGGCATGAAAAGCACTATTGCACTAAAGTTTTCGAACAATCAAACTACCATCTACTATGTAGAAAATATGGGATTTTCTTGGAACATTTAACGTGAACAAACCATTTTCATTCTTTTTCATATAAACATTGTCACTAAATACTTATGAACTCACCAGCTTAAATGCTAACCTACACTTTCAAAACCACTTGTATTTCTATGGGATTCAGTAATACAGGTAAACTGCAACTTTTGAAGAAGGGACGCTGCGGCGTTAGTTTAATTCCATTTTAAATCATCATATTGTAATTTCTTTTGAAACAAGTACTTTTCAACAATGTAAACTTTTAAATTATATATGTGATGGTTGTATTACTTTCTTTACTATGTATTTAATTGTTACGATACTACATGAAGTCATCCACCCTCGAACGATTCCGTCGTTCTGGTTTGGGGGTGTGACAGTTACATCATGATGGGAGGTTGCATATGATTATGTTGTAGAGACGAATGACAAGGGTATTTAGGCTAAGGAAATTCGGTCGGGAATGGGGTTCTTGGATGAGGTTAGGGACATAGTTAAAATAATCATTGCACCATCTTTAGTGGTAGGGTTAGGGATTTTTAGCTATAAGCTTGAGTTGTAAGTATTCTAGTGAAAGAGATAGATATGTGAGTCAAAATAAGAATGTAAAAAGGCTAAGTTTACCTGTAACCAACAATGATGATTAGCGGTGGTGTGACACTAATCACAAAGATTAAGGATGGGGTATGGTTTTTATTTGACGAATGATGAAGTGGGGACGATGCGCACATGCATGAAAGGGAGGGACAACCGGACAAGAGAGGCGGGGGGGGGGGGGGGGGGGGTTCCGATTGGATCTCAATAGAAAGGTTAGGTTAGAAGGGAGGAATTGTTATTAAAAAATAACAAAATAAAAAAAATAAAAAAAATAAAAAAAAAAAAAAAAAAAACGTGACAACATTTTATAAGTTCTTATAACAATCCTTTACTAACACCATTAGTAGAAGGACCGCTACCGTAACAAAAACAATGTTATAGACAAGTTTAAAGTAAAACTCAAACTCGAACCAACCATACATATATACATATATTATAAAGATCATTTTCTAAGTTTTATCTAATGAAACACATCTATAAAGACAGTCACTACAAGAAACGGGAAATCAAACATTTATCTTTTAAACCAATGTTCTTACACAAATGGTGGAACATGTTATATACATATATTAAAAAGCCTCGTTACTATTGATAGATATTTCCTCCTTTTTTTTTTATCAATATGAACTATTGATCACAATACAATCATTCATATCCCTTAAGTTTCCTATTGAGTACCGATACCATAAGAAATCCTTCTTTTGAAACAGACGGCGTATTTTTTGAAACGAGGACCTCAGTAACGTAGCAAACCAACAACAAGTTGTGCTGTTAAACTTTTTATATGATGCTCTTATATATATATATATATATATATATATATATATATATATATATATATATATATATATATATATATATATATATATATATATATATATGGGAAAAGTGAATATACCCTTAAGGGTATATAAGCACCCAAACACACCATAATACGTCATTTTCTTTTATATATTTATTATAATTTTAAACTTAAACTTTAACTTGATTTACTTTCAAGATATTCGAAATTTCACTATTAACTTTTTCTTAAATTACATCTTTTTGCCGAACATCTACTAGGCTATATATTTTGTAGTTGAAAATGAAAATTATGTAAGAGGAAGATAAATATGTAATTTACAAAAATCTTGGAAGTACATCAAGTTAGAAGTTAAATTATAAGAATATTGGACAATTAGAATGTTTTATATGATGCAACATGACTTAATATGGTGAGTTTGGGTATCTAAACTTATATACCCTTAAGGGTATATTCACTTTTCCATATATATATATATATATATATATATATATATATATATATATATATATATATATATATATATATATATATATATATATATATATATATATAAAGTTACTTTTGTTACGGAAAGGTTTTTCTTTTGCCTTCTAACTCAAAATAATACTTAAAATTGGTAAAATGTGGTATTGAATTACTTTGGCATATCCAATCCAGCAAAATGAAATTCATTAATATTAATTTTGAATTAAGGTTTTGGATTCGGTTGACACAAATTTATTTATCAAGGGCCAAAGTAGCAGTATAAACATAAACTAAAGTACTAAAACCGAAATTAACTAGTTACTAACAAAAAGAGAGTACATTGCTAATACTAAAGCTGAGGAACCACCCAACCAGAACCCCTTTCAGTTACTAGCCACGTTGCAGCTTCAGCCGAACTCCCTCCACCTATATATACTTCACCTTACCCCTTTCATCTGCTCAACTCAACTCAACTCAACTCATTCATTATCCATTACTTTCTCTCTCCACAACTCATTGGAGATTTGCTTCTTTCTCACACACTCAAGCAGAAAAAACACACACTAATCAGAACCAGATTAGTACTTGAATATATGGATTATGACTCGTCCGTATAGATTTCTATCAACTGCTGTCAACTCATCGTCGAAGGCGGCGGCAGAATCGCCGGAGGCAGTCTCTGTTGAATCAGATTTCGTCGTCATCTTCGCTGCTCTACTATGTGCTTTGGTTTGTATCGTAGGTTTGATAGTCGTAGCTCGATGCGCCTGGCTCAGACGCAGATCTCTCGCCAATAGCTTACCTGGCCAACAGTCTGCTAATAAAGGAATTAAGAAGAAGTTCATTGACGCGCTTCCGAAATTCAAGTACGATTCAGCCAAGGACGACAACGGCGGAAAGCTTTCCTCCGGTGATTGTGCGTGTGCGATCTGTTTGACGGAGTACGCAGATGGAGATGAGATCAGAGTGCTCCCGCAGTGCGGACATGGATTTCACGTCGGATGTATCGACAAGTGGCTTGGATCTCACTCTTCTTGTCCGTCGTGTAGACAGATTCTGGTGATTAGTAGGTGTAAGAAGTGCGGCGAGTTCCCGACGCTTTCCGCCGGAAAAATCTCGTTGGTGGTTGATCATGGAGGTAGGCATCATAACGATAGTTCTAGTTCATCAAGTTGACATCGATCAAACGTGTTAATTTAATAATTTAGAAGTTTATTAATTACCAATGATATGATGCTTAAGTTACAATCACAGAGTTTCTCTTGCAAAATGATTCTAAAATTGCTAATCCAGATGTGGATGGTGTTGTTTTTGTCTTGTAGCTTTGCATCAAAACAAGAAAATAGCGAAATATGTTTTTTTTTTTTTTTTTTTTTTTAATTTCAATGGATGTGAAGTGAAGTCTCTACCTTATCTTAATTCTTATCCCATTGGATCTTGCTAGCTTTTGGCTTATCAATTATCATATAAAATAGTTGATGAACACAATTTATAACGATGGTTGTTGTCTTTCTCTTTTGTTGTGAACTATAGTTTTATTATTCGTTTTGATTTGGATTTTAGGGAAGTTGGGATGCAATTCAAGAATTTGATTCAGAAGTGAATTCTTTTCTGAATTTGATTGCGATGTTATAACTTATAAGTTCAGTGGCGTATACATTCTAAAACCTTAATCACATAATTTTGGGAAATGTCCAAAAGTTTAAGGTGTTTTAATTATAGATAATATATACAATTAGATGATAAACGAGGGATTTTATAATTAATAATTAATATTAATAATTATTAGAGTAAATTACTGAAATCATCCTTATGGTTTGTTTAAAATTGCATATTTAATCCCTAACTTTTCTTTTACACTCGGATCGTCCCTGTGGTTTGATTTTGTTGTGTTTTTCGTCTCTTATATACATAAAGCTATAGACCAAACATGCAATTTTGACCAAACCACAGAGACGAAAAATGCAACAAAATCAAACCACAGAGACAAAAAATGCAACAAAATCAAACCACAGAGATAATCCGAATGCAAAATAAAAGTTAGGGATCAAATATGCAATTTTAACCAAACCATTGGGACAATTTCAGTAACTTACTCTAATTATTAATAATTAGTTATAAGATAAACAAAGAAAATGCAAACTGAGAGCAAGTAAGCATAAGCCGTCTCGTCGGCTATTTAATAGGTGGTTGGGAGTTCGTTAGGCGTCATGCCAATACATAAATACTTGTGATTATTCGTTCATGGATTTTATTTATAATGAAATTTGAACTCTAATGTGTAAGAATTTTAGCGTTTGATTTTGGCTCTTTGAATGGACTGTTTGATCTGATCCTTTCAAATAATTTCACTTCAGTTTTAAAACATAGATAAAAATAGTTTGAATCATATTAAATCCGATTTAAACGAAGCAAATTATAATCCAGTTGAATTGATCTTTTTCACAACTTGATTTCGGTAATCCAAATTTTCCAAAAAACTATATAAACTTAGAATTAACAAACGTGTAAATCAACAAAATACTCATTTGACCCATCTTAGGCGTGTTTGATAAAAGTAACTGTTAGTTGGAAACGGGTAGCGGTTAGCTGGTATTGAGAAGCTGTAACTTTTATTTGTTATATGAATGTTTGACAAAAGTAGCCGGAAGCTTTTGAAATATATAAAATTACATAAAAGGATAACTGATTAAAAATAAATAAATATATAAATATATTTTTAAGGGTAATTATGGAAATTGATTTAAAAAGCTCAGGAGCGTTTTGTCAAACGCTACATTAAATAGCTTTTAGAATCGGAACGTTTTGCTAAAACTAAAAGTTAAACGCTTGTACCGCCAAACGAAACTTTTTGTTAAACTAGAACGTTTAATCCAAAGCCAAAAGCTAGAAACTCTCAAACGCTTCCAAAAGCTCTGTGTCAAACACGTCCTTAGTGAACTCAAATAAAAGAGTTACAAATAAATCGCTTACCCGTGGATTAAAATTTATAAACATATGCCTTATAATTTATTTAGTGCTAATAAAGTGAAACATCCATGCATGGGTAGTTTTAAAGATTTATCTCTCTATTTCTATTTATGTTAGAGACTATCTAAATGAACATCAAGATAAATCTCATTTTTATATCGTATTCATTTGAAAATCTTCACGAACTACTTTTATTTATATCTTGTAAAAGAGACTATCTAAATGAACATCAAGATAAATCTCATTTTTATACCATATTTATTTGAAATCTTCACAATCTTTTACCTTTCAACTAATTAATGGTAACCATTAAAAAGTGTTCATAAACTATATTTGATAATTACTAAGTAGTTGAGTGGTAATTGAAAGGTTTTTATTTTACTATAAAAATGTCTATAGTTACATACAAATACAACTTATATAGAGAAAAAAATATATAGAAGTTTTTTTTGGCTATACAATAACATTATTTCCATGCTTTTCTATTCACATTTATTTTTTCTTATCTTAAAGTTATTGTTTTATAAAGTGTTATTATCACCCAAGAATTCCTTGAACTCCATTGGAAATTGTTTTTTCTCTTATAATATTTTTCATTTTGGTTAAAAAAATTTTACATGATCTCCAATATGACCTTGGTTATGATTCTCACGTTATAATGGTAAATTTTTAAGTGACTAAGATGTTACATTATTTCTCCTTTCTTTTAAAATTTGTTATCTAATTTCATGAAATTATAAAAATAGTGCGTAGGAGGGTTGCTTCAACTTTACATACTATAATCAATTCCTGGAAAAATGTAGTACAGAAGGTGGTTCTCGATGTACCAACAAAATCAAATGTAGGTCTTCAAAATATGTATTTGAAAATCAATATCATATTTACTAATCGATATATTAAAACTCTTGATGAGATTTATGTATAATGAAATATTTTATGTGACTTTATTCTTAACTAGGTGTGAGCTAGTACTCAAGTTTATTAAAAACAAAAGTTTAACATAAAATTGTAAATATTATGTATTTTTTTAAGTAATGTTTTTATATAAATACATAGGATGTACGAATAAAATAAATTATATAATAAATACTAATAAAAAATATTGACATTTTAAATTTGTAAGATATAGTGATTTAAGATTTAATACTACGAGAATTGAAACATAAAGAAAAGAATGTAGGGCGTTTATTACGAAATTTAATAGAATGATCTATCTTTTATATATATATATATATATATATATATATATATATATATATATATATATATATATATATATATATATATATATATACATACTAGCAGCGTGCCCGCGCGACGCGGCGGCGGCAATTTGTTTCATTCCGGCGATTAGTTTCCAAATAAAAGTTAGTAGCATTTTGGCGGTCATCAAATTTTTTCCTTTCCCTTTGTTTCATTCAGGCGATTCGTTTCATTCCGACGATCAATTGTCTCTAGACGGACAACAAATAGTAGTTTTCGTCTATTACTCTTTATGTGGCAGTGGTGTCAAATAGTTTTATGTGTCAGTTAGTTATATTTTGTTATTCCTATGGATAATTGTTTATTCAGCGATTAGTTTTCTTTTAGCATGTTGTTGTTTCATGATAAAAAGAAAAGTATGTTGTTCATTTGCAATGTGACATCGTGCTGCCAAGGTGGTGAATTGTTTATTTTCGGCGAGTTGTTTCTTTTGGATGATTATGATTTGGGATGAGGGTAACAAATATACCTATGTTGTTTTGGTTTAAAAATATAAGTATACTACGACTTTGGGATAAAAATAAAAATCTATTATCTTTGAGATAAAAACAGTAGTACTTTCTATTTTGGACTAAATAAAGAATTTGTTGATGTACCCACCAATTTAAAACACCTATATAATACATTAAAGAGGTATCCACACAGAACGATGAATGAATTTTTTTTTTCAACAAATAATTTTGTTATGACAATTAGATTCTTTTAAATTCGAGGCCAATAGGTTTCTTTTTTCTAAAGGTACTGTTTCAATAAAATGGATTTTTTTTGACAGTATCACACTAAAAAGATTGTAATATATAGGTTCACCGAGCACACAAAGCATAGAAACCGCACTATACCAAACATCACAACATAAATGGTTCAAATATGAAATAAATTACTAAAAAAATAATAATATACAACTATTGTTAAAAATGTAAAATATAGACCACACTCAAAGCTTACAAAGACATAAGAACAAAATAGTAATTAACATTACAATAAAACTCTCACAAGTCTACATATGGAGTTGGCATTAAAAATGTGAACATTGATAGATATTTCGTTACTTAAAATTGAGAAATATAGGTTGATTTTCACAAATAAAATTTATAAACCATTTTCTTATAATATATTAAGAAACGTTGATCAAAAATTAAGGTTTAGACTTTGTAATATTAATATTTGACTTAAGCTTACTTGGAGTAGTATTAAGGCCACATCGTCCCTTTAAGTGGGTGATGTGATACTTAATCTCATTCCAACCATAAGTTACTTTTAAGTTAAAAGTAGCAAATAATTCAATATAAATAATAACACATTATACCAAGTAACATCCACCTATGAGTAAATACATAATATTTGATCAAAATCATGTTATAATGATTAATATTTTAAGGTGTGCATCATACTTTATAGAAGCTAAATTTGAATCAAGGAGTGTAACAATTAATACAAGAAAAGTAACTAAATTAATGAAAAGTTGAATGTTACGGTAGGCTACCAATTTCATGTTCCTTTGTAATGTCCTCTTTAGGTAAAGCTTAATATCTGCAGGTGGACCATAACCGAGAAGTGTTCAATCAACTAAAATATTGAATATGTAATAGGTAATGTTTTAAAAAGTAGAATGTCATAATAGGAATAGTAATGCAACAAAAGTACATTGCCATTTTTTTTAATGATGTGCAGAAAATACAAAAAACAAAATACTTAAAAATATACTAACATTATTTACACATAGATACTGCACATTATCCATCATCATTTTGACATGGTTCCCTAATGATTTTCACTATACATAAATTAATGTGCACCGGTTACACCAACTAAAAAATGTTGTTGATTAAGACATGATGAAAACATCATCTGTCAAAGTTGAGATAACTTATTAAGTTAAAATAAATAAGAGAAAGTCAAACCTAAAGCTAAATTTTATGAGATATAAAATTTCCTTTAAACGTAGCTAATTTGATTTCTTTTAGCAATGATCGAAAACCATGAAGCTTTTTGCTCTGTAATAGTCATTTTGCAAGGGCAAAAAAATGTGTCATTTATCTAACTTAATCGTGATTAATGAATACCATATACATATTTTCAAAAAAAAAAAAAAAAAAAAAGGAGATTGTGCATCAGAAAGATGATTGGTGAAGGTATTTTGTGATAATTGACTTATAGGTCACATTATGTCATTTGTTTCACAATTGTAAAAGCAAGTCCAAATCTGGTCCAATAAAAACAATTGATGAGGTCAATTAATAGACATTAGGATTGCAATTTGCATTGAAAAAGTTATTGCATTATAATTCTTAGTTGGCATCAGATTATAAACCCCATATATGCTAATGTTAAAAAAAATGTAAAGGTTGCAAGTAAATGC